AAACACCTCTCCATTTTTCTTTGCTGCCCTGTCAGGGCTCTGATTTATCTATTTGTTTATTTCCTCCTGGCTGAAGCTTGCTATTAATTATGGTTTGGATGGGACCTTCTCCTTTTAATGTGTTAATTCCCACAGTGGTTTCCAGTTGCTGGACAGAGGAGGTACCACGTCTTTCTGGTAGTGATGTCCGCTTTTCTCAATAATTGCCTGCACTTGGTAGCTTGCTGTAACTCTTGGCAGAATGTTTAATCCTTCAATTAATATCACTTCCAGGCAAGGCTGGTTCCCTCAGGAGCAAACCCAGCCAAGTACTCAGGATTGCACTATACCTCCCCCCAGTCCCCAGCATAGGTCCTCTGCTGAGATGGAGCTGCTTCTTTAAAAAGGGGCTTTCCAAGTGAGACAGCAGTCCAAAGCACCTACTGAGAGTCTTCACCTTCTGCTTACCTCATAGTGCACTGTCCTTTTCCCCTTGATATCTAGAAGAATTCCACTCCTAGATGCACTTCCTTCTATACCAGCCCTGCTCATTGTACAGGAGGCACTAACCCAGGGTGGGCCTTCATGTCTTGTCTCAATAAGCAGGCTGAATAAAGAATGACAAAGTGGTTGAGGGTGGAAGGGACCTTTGGAGGTCATCTAGCCAAACCTCCTGTGCTCCAGGGTTGTCAGCTACTGTAGGTTGTAGAGGACCATGTCCAGTTGTCATAAGCTGAAGCAGAACCATCCTTTAGGGACAAACTGATTTTAGGGATAAACAACTGAAATAGGGTAAGTTTAGATTGGCTTTAAGGAAGAAGTTATTCCTTTTGAGGGTGGTGAGGCACTGGCACAGGTTGCCCAAAGAAGCTGTGGCTGCCCCATGCCTGGCAGTGTTCAAGGCCAGGTTGGACGGGGCTTGGAGCAACCTGGTCTAGTGGAAGGTGTCCCTGCCTGTGGCAGGTGGTTGGAACTAGAGGGTCAAACAAAGGGTTTTCCAACCCAAAACGTTCCATGATTCTGTGACTCTATGATGACAAGAGGATTTAGTGCCAGTCAGAGGCTGAGCACTGGAAGCAGCAGCACAGATTTCTTTCCAGTCACCTTTCCACCCTGTACCAATGATCCTGACCCAAAGCTGGGGATAGTCTGAGGCTGAAAAAGACATCTCAGAGTCTTCATCTCCAGTACCTATAGCATCACATGGGGGCCTGTATGTGGAGAAGGTTAGACTATCATAGCCTGAGGATGGAGTGGGTTTTATCACATGCCATAAGACAAGCAGCAGTTTGAAACTGCAGGGGGACACAGTGCCTATGTAAATGTAAGATATCCAAACCTAGTCAAGAGGACATGTAAGCAAGTATGAAATTACATGCAACTTGTGCCCAAGGTATGAGGTGGACAAGATTGGCTGGGAGGTTTACACCATCTACTAATTTCCTGTCTTTCTCTTTTCTTATTGCTACAGGAAGCTGCTGAAATCTACCCTCGTCCTTATGCCTCTGTTTGGCGTTCACTATATTGTTTTCATGGCTATGCCATACACAGATGTGTCAGGGATTCTTTGGCAAGTTCAAATGCACTATGAAATGCTGTTCAACTCTTTCCAGGTAGAGTAACTGTTAAACTAGGGAGTAGAACTGAAAGTATTTCAATGGGGAGGGGAGAGAAATGAAAGTGTACAGTTGTCTTTGGAAGCAGGGCTGTTTTTACAATACACCAGATTTCATTCACAAGGTGATTTTACAGTATTTTAGCATCAAGTACGTTTTATATTTACTAAACACAACATATAAAGGCTCAGTGTGTCCAACAGAAAAATGTTTCTGCTGAAAGATAACTCGCCCCACAAAATAAATCCCTTTAAATCTAGGTTAGATGTAAGCTGGTTGATAGAGATCCACAGAGACATGTTGTTTCGAATTAGCTGTTTCAAGTTAGCTTCCAATTTGCCTGTCCCAAGATGTTTTTTGGTCCTGTGAATAGATTTCTCAGTTCTAGGTTTGAGCAAAAGGCAGGTTCAGTTACAGGACTGGTCCTATATAAGACACAGCAGCAAGAATACGCAACTCTCTACAAGAAGAGCAGTGTTTGATTGTCACTGCACACCCTTCTCTGAGGGATTAACTTTTGGCTTACATGCTATTACCTATCATCATGGTTGACCAGTGTGGATGATTGATAAAAGGTGGACAGTGGGTCTGGTCAGGTGATGGTTTAGACAAACTGCAAGAGAGAGCATGCTTACGTTCATGTGCTTCCACAATCCCTCTTGGGTGCATACAGGATAAAACAGCGGGTTACCTCAACAAGACCTGGGTAAGCTATTGGCCAACAAAAAGTTGTGGATGGTTTGCTCACATCTGAATTCCTTTGCTGATCCCATTAGGCCCATTCTGCTCCGCACACAGGCTACCCCATTTACAGCCAGGGCTGGAAAAGCCCCATCAGCACCATCTTCCACCCTGCTGTGCTGCAGCAGGATGAGGTACATGTAAAACACTAGAAATGTTTATCCAATAAGTTTGTAAACATGTCCAGTGAGGTAGACCCCACCAGTTTCCCAGGCACCCATCACCATCTCAGAACCTTTGCAGCAGATAATAATAGCCCTATGGCTAAACCGTGACCCAGAGGGCTTATATAGTCTATCTACTTGGTCTTTAGGGAAATGTCTGTGTCGATCTGTCTCTCATGGTACTGAAGAATGTAAGGTTTCTTACACATATTTTATACTGCATATTATGACTATAATCGATTTCAGAGGAACACAGGGATGCTGGGCAGCATCATCAGAAAAGAAATACATGAAGCAAGATTAACATCAGTATGTTGTTTCTTCTTCCTTCTAGGGATTTTTTGTTGCCATCATATACTGTTTTTGCAATGGAGAGGTATGTCACCAGCTTTTTAATTATTTCTCTCTGTTACATTCGTTCCACATACATATGGGAAGGCAGATGCACATGAGCATATCCTCACTTATTGTAGAGGCACAACCCTGTTTTGCACTCAGTGAAAAATCTCAGTCCGCATAGAAAGTTCATATCCTTGGTTTTGACATGTAAGACATCCAGGTCAATATGCCACCAATAAATAACCTACTGGAAAATAGCTAATGGAGAAAATAAAATGTGGTTTGTTTTTTTTTTTTTTTTTAACTAGCATAAGTGCTGTTTAGTGTTGCTTAATTTGAGATCTGTGGCAGAAAGAAAAGTGGATCGATAGAGTAGCTTTTTTGATTGTCCTGGCTTTTTTGACCTTTTTTCTATTTCCAAAGTGATATGCTTTAATGTTTTGGGTTTTGTTTTTTTTATTTTTCTCTAATTCCCTCTGTTCCTGTAAACTAAGAAACTAGATGGTCAATGACTATACACTGGAAAGAAACAAAATGTGGCCCAGCATAAGACTGGTCCAGCATAAGGCTGGTTTGGCCTAAGTTTATGGGTTTTAAGGGGAAATGCAACTACAAATATCCTGCTCATGTTCTACAGCATAAAACCAAGACAAAATCCATACCACAAGGGGAATTGGTCATGTCCCTTAGCCCTAGGAGAGAGTTAACCTATATTTCAGTTAGATGCTTTCAGCTATTCAAGCTTCCCAATGTCAAACATCTCATTTGGAAAGGGCAGCTTTAATGTGAATTTAGTGTTTCTTCCAATTTCACTCCTCAGAGAGTTTCTCACCCATTCTGTCTGTGAAAACTACATCCTTCTGCCCTGCTCTGCTCCTACTTATGCTTTCTCCCCTCCTCACTCCCTTATCTCTCAGGTCCAAGCAGAAATAAAGAAGTCATGGAGCAGGTGGACATTAGCACTTGATTTTAAAAGGAAAGCACGAAGTGGGAGCACAACCTACAGTTATGGACCAATGGTTTCCCACACCAGCATCACAAATGTAGCCACAAGAGGAGCACTTGCCCTCTCTGTCAATACAAGACTTATACCAGGCACCCTCAATGGACATCGGAATTTGCCAGGTTATGTAAAAAATGGCTCCATTTCTGAAAACTCTATGCCTTCTTCTGGACCAGAGCAGTACAACAAAGATGAGGAATACCTGAATGGCTCTGGGCTTTACGATGGAGACAGACCTACAGTACTTGTTGAAGAAGAAAGAGAGACAGTGATGTGAAGAGAGAAGAAGAAAAAAGAAACAAAAGGATGAAAAAGGTTCCTGGAGAGCATTTAGTGGGCAAAAGAGTGTCAGGCCACACATCAGATGCCAAGGATTTCTATACAGTTTCTCTGTTCTGTGGAACGAGAAGTTAAGTTATATGGGAAAAGAAAAGTGAGCCACCAATGTGGCCAGCTGTTGATCACATACATATTCTCAAGTGATCTAAGTCTCCCTGGTGTTAACAGAAGCAGGGCTATCCAGACCTGCAGGCTTTGCTACTGCTGAACAACTGAGATACTGGGAATTCATGAGGGAGGGTTGCAAACAGCAACGTGGTCCTTGGACCTCTTGGAGAGTGTGGGCAGCAAAGGAGGACAGGAGTCTCACCCAGTAAAGCAAGAGTCTTTCAGGGAGTGTACAGTGCCATCTTCTTGCAAGGGTACAAGCCACCCTGGGCATCAATGTCTTCGGTTTGGTTTGCTCTTTCAACACACACAACACCGATCAAGACCCATTGAGGGGTCATAGCTACCCACTCTTTCAGATAAGCACTCAACATAGACAGCTCAGTACCACTGGTCACATGTTCTTCCCTTTGGCAATCTCACTCTTTGGCAAAATGCTCCTCTGAGCTGAGCAGGGTTAACAGTTCCTGGTTGCTGAATGCAGGCAGACAACTCTGTTATCCTTTCCCTGACCCCAGTCCCAGTAGCAAACCAGAAACCAGTGCAGTTTCAGGATGGAAAATGTGCTTATCAGAATGTGTGACATTTCTGTTCTTCCAGATGCAGCAGAGAGAGGGGCCCAGTCAACCAAGTGGGTTAAGGCAGGGTGGGGAATTTGCTGATCTTGGGTATGTGTGCCTCAGTGTCTGTGGCTAAGATCAGCTAAGATCAGGGCTAACTCAGCCCTCCCTTTTTGTGGGTGCTCATGGAAACAGGCTTCAGTCAGTTTTTAAATCTCTAAATTGCTTCTCATTCTGCCCTCTGAATTTCCTGTTTCCCGCTAGCCAAAACCCTCATTAGGAGAAAGACTCCATCAACAGTCTGCCTGTATCACCCAGCAACACAAGCTGTGGATACAGCCAGACAAACCTAAGTTCATGAGATCCAAAGGCAGTATTTGCTGGATAAAAGCACAGGAATTGCTCATGGATGGTCACCTTTGAACATCTTCTGAACTTTCCTATTCTTTGTGTTTTGGTCACACACACATCAACACCAGGTGCACCAGCTCAGACTCTTAGCTGATGTTAACAAGTCTAACTTCAACCAGATGAGAACATGTTATTGCTCAGATGAGGAAATGTTATTGCAGTTACCTCCAAGGCGTAACTGCACAAGGAAATGCCTCGTTCCTACAGGAGACCGAGGCCGTGAAGATTTTGTCACCATGCAGAGTTTTCCTAGCTGGTGATTTTCGCAGGGTGTGCCAAAAGATTGTTCTCTGATACACATCATCTTCAGCAGCAACGAAGAGGTACAACCCTTGTTGGCCATCGTGTGTTGTGTTGGGGCTGTTTCGCACCAGCAGATCATCTAGTGAAGGGTCTCTGCTGTTTTCTAAGCATGATACAAGATTGCCCAGAAGTGGGAAATTGGGAACAGCGACTAAACTTCCTATTGCAGTACATGCTTCCACAAAGGAAGGACTCTGGCTGAGTCAGCCTGGATCCTCAATTCAGCCCCTGTCATAGCACCACCATTCCCTTGCTGCAGTCTAAGAGTCAGCTCCTCATGGTGCTTTTTTTTTTTTTAATTTTTTTTTTTTTCCTCTTGTCATGTTTCTAGTAACTGAAATATTTTGACCTCACCTGACTGTTACTCAAATGGAATAGGAAAGAGGTATTGGGCAAGTTTGCAGAAATCCTTTAGTATGTATGTAGGGCCAATGGGATGATTTACCTTATATCCTGATCCTTCAGATACAGCTGATGGGTCACATCAACCAGAATTTCTGAAGTGCATCCAGTCAATGCAACCAGCTAGTCTTCTGAGGGCAAATTAGTAACTTACCCAAAACTCTGAAGGAGGTCAGGAAGAGCAGTTGGGATCTTGACTCTGTGTCCCACATCTTCAAACAACCTTCCAGCTTAGGGCCTGATCCAAAAATGAGTTTGGTTTCTGACTAGTTTAGGTTTAGGTTAGATATAAGGAAGAAGTTCTTTACAGTGAGGGTGCTGAGGCACTGGAACAGGTTGCCCAAAGAAGTGGTAAATGCTCCATCCCTGGCAGTGCTCAAGGCCAGGTTGGACAGAGCCTTGGGTAACATGATTTAGTGTGTGGTGTCCTTGCCCATGGCAGGGGGGTTGGAATTGGATGATCTTAAGGTCCTTTCCAACCCTAACTATTCTATGATTCTAAGAGACCTCCTCCCTTTGGTGTCTCTGAGTTTTGGATTCAGATGTGGCAGGGTATATGGTGAGTGAGAGGCAGTCCTCTATCAGACACCTCTCCACTAGCTGCATGAGCAGGTCTTTAAAACCCATTGTTTATCTGTGACATTCTTTTCTTCTTTTGTGTCATTAAAGTAAGTCAAATCTAATCAAAACCATTTAAAACTAAATGGCAGCTATTTAAGTGTAAGGTTTTCAAAGAATAATCTTTCATGCTCACTAATTATTGCTGTTCTTGTTATTCCTATAACAATGTTAGCAACAGTATTACAGAGAAGTTAAGTAATCTTGCAGGAGAAGTCAACTCTAGCGAAAGTTTGGCATGAAGAGCTAACCACCTCTGAAGAAATCTGGGTCAGCCCAGCTACACTCACTGCTCGTCTTTTTCTCGCAGATGCTGGTATGGCTTCTGGAGGCAATCAAAGGGGCAGAAGTTATTAACAGTTGGCTGTCAGAGTGTGTACAGCTGTGTTATTTAGCATCCCATGTGGCTGAACCACCAATGAGAGAGAAGAACACTGAATATGCTGGCTCTGGCTTTCCAACCTTCCAGAAGTACATTGTGCTTAAATCCTGCCAAGTAGATGCAATGACCCTCCTGATTTTTTCACTTCAAGAGATTTCTTAATATCATTTCACCGCTGGAACAAAGGAAAGAAAAAATACCAAAAACCCCACCAGTGACTCACCATTTGCTTGTATTTCTTATTGAGAGTTCAATATTAATAACATGTTTAACAATCACTTAGAAAAGTTCAATGAATTAGCAAAAGCCATAAAATTATTTATTAACAAATGCAACACCTCTCTTAGATGCAGCCCTCACTGAAATGCATTTGCCACTTGATTATTTAAAATAAATGTCTGAAAAATGTTAAGTGGAGATAAAAATTACATGCACAAGGGATGTACAGGGAAAGAAATATTTTCTTAATTCTTTCAGTTACAAATCATGCACATAAGATTTTCTTTCTTTTTTTTTTTCCCTGGGTGTTCATATGCATGAACAGTATGCATGTAAAAATTCAGAAAATGCTGATAGTAAAACAGTGTAATAACTGCCATTAAGGCACAGCAGACTGTATGTTTGTTAAAGCCTGTTCTTATCATTCCTGGGCTGATAACAAACTGTTGATCGAGTATATAGTCATGATCTATTAGCTAAATATCCAAGGACATCCTTCACTGGTTTTAATGAGGAAGGGGTTAGACCTGTGATGTCTAAAACCAGAGAAGAAACCACAGTTTGCTCTCGAAAGGCAAGCAAAGTGGTCCTGCTGGCATTTATCCAAAGCCTCTAGATTCGGAGTGGGCTCCCCTTTGCTTCCTCCATCACCAGGAGATGTGGGCATTTCTCAAGGACAGTTTACCCACATCCAAAGGTCTGAGTTCACCTTGGGTGACAATTCCTTTCCTGTCTGAGTTACCAGTGCAAACATACCCCAAAGGCCACAGAAAATAAAAATGTGGTGAGGTGAGCATACATTTTTCTGTGATTCATCTAGAGGCCACTGCAAACGTGCAGGCAGGACAGGGTTTGTGACCTGCATCCTGGTTGAAATTCAGCATGGGATTGAGAGCAGAGAGAGCATATTGCTTTGGAGTTGGTGTGCAGCAAACATACAGGCCAACAGACATTCTCAAGGTCACTTCAAGGAGGTCCAAAGAAGCTGGTTGCCTGTATTTTTCTAGTTTTCCCTCCTCCATGGCGTCAGAATTGTGGCCTTTTTCTTCACATCCTGTAAAGCAGCTGTCAACACTCAGGAGTCTTTAGACCCTCTCACTCCTCTAAGCCTGCTGGGCTGGCACAGGCCAAGCTGTGAACTGCAGTATTGCAGCTGACTGGCTCACATGAGGAGGAATGTCCTTGTGCCACAGAGTTGTTGGGCTTGGGCAGGGAATCTCCGTCCCTGGCAGGTTCATCTCATCCTACCAGCCCAGTGCCTCTTCTATTCCCATCCACAGCAGCACAGTCTGTTTTCCTTTGCGAATCGTTCTTACTTGATCTACCTCTTTTCTGGATGGACACAGAGACGCTAAATGTTCCTCAGCCTTGTGTTTCTTAACGATTACTTTTGCCAGCAGCCTTGACATTTCTGCTTTGCCTGGATATGTGCAGACAAATGTTTTTACACCTTCTATATACTGCTTGGTCTAGGTTCAGATGAGATCATGTCTTGTCCTTTTCCTCACTATTCCTCAGCTCTTCTTCTTGTCTAATACATATCAAAGCCAAATCAGTTCACAAAGATCTGAAATTGAACTCTTCAGCTAGGGATTGGCTTTGTTTATCTGTTTATGGGCAACTGGCTGAAAGTTGTAGAACATCCACAATGCTGGTAAGAATTTTCTATTTTTTAAACTATAAAAATATATTAAAAAGAAAGTTTTGGGTTTGGGTTTGGTTGGGTGGTTTTTTTTTTCCTGTTTATTACTTTGACAAACTCAATGGCTGTCTTAAAAGTTTTAAAATTTCAGGTTCTGATGTTTCAGAAAGTTAAGAAACCTCATTTATAGTTTCCACACCCCTTCCACCTAGAAAGCTTCAAGCAGAATTACTAATGATACAGAGAGTGATCAATATATCCCTTAACTCATTTGAATCTCTCGCTATGGTCAATGACTTTCACCTGAGATAGGACTGCATGAAATAAGAGAAAGCACTTTAAGAGTTGACCTTTAAGGGAGAGTTTATATGAACCTGTGAAGTCTTCCAATGTGCAACATTACTTCTTATTTGGTGTATGTGCTTTTTTACAGTTGTTG